TAATCAGTTAACCATAATTTTAAAATAGTTTTGTTTCTAAGACTAAATAATTTAAAGCCAGTGACTGGCTTGAGTTGCTGTTGCTTGTTTGTGTCTCTCTCTGTATTCAGGTTTGTATTTAAGAACTTGCTTGGGTTGAGATCAGGGGACTCACTTGGGAGTTGAAGAATCGCTCATTTCTTTACCTTGAGAAGCTCTTGGGTGTCTTTTGCAGTGCTGTGGGTCATTATCCATTTGTGCAGAGAGTATAGCTCTGAACACTTCATCCTGCTACTTCTATCAGCAGCACATCGCAAATACACATTAGCAGCCCAGTTCCACTGGTAGCCGTACACGAGTTGCTTGTTTCTTTCTCCATACTTTTCACTTCCTATCATTCTGGTTTATTTCAGGTTTTATCTGTCCATTTTTATCAGAACTGTGCAGATTCTTTTCAGATGTTTTCTGGCAAAGTCTACTATAACCTTTTTGTCCTTGTGCGTAACCAGTTGTTGCCCCTTTTTGTAAAGCCTCTGTATTTATATTCATGAAGCTATTGACAGTGATACTCCCACCTCCTCCCAAGTGTTCCTGACTTTGATAGAAACTTTCTATGAAGGGGTTTTCATAACCATCGAAACAATTCTGTGATCCACTTCAGTAGACTTCTCTAGTAGTCTTTGATGCTGCTGGCTGGCTGGTGCATACCTGATTGCTAAAAATGAACCAGATTGTTGAACTGACTGCTCCGGAGTTTTTTGTATTTCTATCTCCGACCTCTTTATTTTGGTTTTTCGGCGTAATGCCACCTTCACTTGTATCAATATCTCTCTAGAGCTTGAGAGTTGCGAGTCCCAGTGAACAGCTACCAAATACAAGCTCAACACTTAATTAATTAACTCCAGATATTTGATCTGCTCAATTTGTCACGAAATAATGGAGCTGAGCTCATCTGGCCATGAAACTGCTTGCCAGTCAATTACATTTGTGATTCTAATGATGGAGGGTTATGTATAAAAATGGCTGTAATTACAAAACGAATAACGTAATAATTGTTAATGCCCTTAAATAAGCCGAAAAAGGAGTACAAGCATGATGAATTCTTACCCTTCAATGTCCTCTGGATTGGCAGGAGCAGCAGTGGGAACAGGAGCAGCAGGTGCCTGCGCAGGAGCTGGAGCTGGAGCTGGAAGAAAAATATAACATCATTCTTTAGTTTTTCATTTCTATGACTGGTACAGGACCCCCACTGAAAACCTTCAGATTCTATACTGTAGAAAGATATTTAAAAAACAATTCATGTGCAAAGTTTAACAACCAGAGCAGCACCATGCACCGCATGCTTATTTGACATTCAGCCCTCTATTCTTACACATCTCGAGGGATGCTGTTCGTATTTTAAACCACTGGTACACGAGGAAAAGATCACCACAGCATGAAGGAAGGCTGTTTCTTATTGCTTACTTTAGTACAGGAGTGGGAACCTAAACCTTCCCAAGACAGTGCTCACTGTTTGTGATACAGGATCAGCCAGATGACACCAATCCCTTTGTCTGTGATTCACAGAGAAACAGGGAGCAGATGGACAGTCTAACAATCCACTAAAAGACACATTTAGTGAATCTACAGCAAGGTCAGAGAGTGTGTTACAGAGCAAAACAACACCTCTCACATCTGTGGACGATGGTACATACTGACCAAAAAGCATTCCCTTCAAACCACTTGACCATCACCCTGATAACAATGTAACTGAATGTGGAACTCAGCTCAGATAAACACGCATCTCACCTGTTTTTGGCTCTTCTTCTTTCTTCTCCTCCTCTTTCTTTTCTTCTTCTTTCTTTTCTTCTTCTTTCTTCTCCTCCTCTTTCTTTTCTTCTTCTTTCTTTTCTTCTTCTTTCTTTTCTTCTTCTTTCTTCTCCTCATCTTTCTTTTCTTCTTCTTTCTTTTCCTCCTCTTTCGTGGGCTGATCTTCTTTTTCTTCTTTCTTTTCTGGCGGATTTTCTTGCTGTAAATTAAAAACACAGGCAGAGGGAAGAGAACAAATAGCAGTGATTAGCCTGCCAGTATAGTAACAACCTGTGCAGCACCAGCCTATGTTTTGAAGAAGAACCAGTGACAGCTCCTGTCCATATTAGTGTCAAGCTGCCTCAGAGGCTTTCACCTCCTGTTGTGTATTTTAATACAACTCAGTCCGACAAGCTTGGAGAAGCCAATGAACCTGATTAATGTTTAATTTGAATGGTGTGTCCACTGGATGAACGCAGTGTTTGTCAAATTAAAATAAAGGGAGATTTAAGCTCTTACCGTAGCCGGTGGAGCCGGGGCAGAAGGCGGAGCGGCAGCAGCCTGGGCAGGACGAGGCTCAGGAGCCCCGATCAGCTTCTTTAACCTGCTGAACATGGCCAGACAGAAAAGAGTCTGACCTTTCCACTGCTTCTTCTGAAAACTTTTTTTTTAGATGTTAGGTCTTTGAAAGAGTACCTGAACTGCTTGTTGTGGAGTCTTTACCTCAAACCTGAACAGCAGACTGAAGCAAATAAAATTCTAGGAATCAGTAAGTCCCTCTAGGCACTCCCCTTTCTCCAGGAGCCAACAGCAGCTCAACAAGCTGAGCTGACAATCACTGCCAGCAGAAATAATGGTTCTCCTGGAGTTGTGAGCACAGCCCAGAAAAAAGACTTTTACCAAAAAGCACCAGTGCTATTTTTTTAATATGTTAGCGAATTTATATAAAAACCTATACCTGATCAACGTAAGCTGGAGGAGAGGGCAGGTAAAAAGAGTATAATCAGTATCTGAATATCCTGTATCATGGGATAACATTAAAGTCACTGCAGTAACCATCTGTGCTACGATGAAAGTAGCTGGTGTAATGCTTGGTTTATTTTAGTCTGTGGAGCTCACAAAAACAGAGGCAGCTGAGTTAATCGGCCCTCGTACTGTCACTCTCTGGCAGGTGAGGATTAGCCTGGATCTGAACTCCTGCTCTCACAAACACAAGGCTAACAGAGAAATACACTGAATGCAGTTCAAACATATTTATTTATTAAAACTCAGTCAAATAATATAAACTGTCAACATTATTGTCACCATGCTTCTTACTGACTGATAATCTCAGGCAGGTTTCCACGTCTACAGTGGGAAAAACAAACGATTATACTGTATAAAAACCATATGAACGAAGTACATACATAGCAGTGTCCACTAGGGGCAGTAGTTGAGATACACATGGTCTTGGCTTGTTATTATTAAATTAGACAGAATGACCTCATCACACAGAGCAGTAAAACTATCATCTGAAAGGTGCTTTCAACAGAAATGAGTTCATTTCCATGAGAGATACATTTTCTTCACTCCAAAAAAGGAGTTATTAAAAAAAAAAACAACTTTCCATGCTCCTTATTAGTTGGTACTGGCAGTCTGGGGAAACAATAAAAGGAGACAAACACAAACTGAGAATCAGCACAATGACTTTCATGTAATAATCACTTGGGGTGCATTTATTAGGACAGAACGGTGTAGTTACCTTCACTTTGTTGATAAACCTTTTGTTAATGGTCCCGCCGAAAGCGCGCAGCAGTTTGGGTGTGGGGGGTTTGGGTCCGAACAGCGCCAGTCCTTTTTTCTTCTCTTCTTCAACTTTAGCTGCTGCTGGACCTTTGGCCTTCATTAGTTTCCTACAGAGGTACAGAGGTTTGTTTACTACAGCAGCATTTATTATTATCATGTGGAAACTTCATATCTCAGGGATTACATGTGTACTTATGTAATCCCTGACAGGAAGGGGAAGCTCACTGTTCAAAGGTATCCCAGCCTGATGAACATCACCAACAGCCCTTTTTCTGACGTCCACATAACACTTTTCTTTTCGCTTTGTTTGTGATCATGTGTTGTGTCTTTAAAACAACACAAACATGTGCTGTTTTAAAGATCAGGCCTTGAAAATAAAAATAGGTCCACCCACTAACATGTGATTGTTTTCCTTGTGTGTAAAACTACCTGACTGGAATTTTATCTTAAAAATTGCTGCCATTTATACATGTTCACATACTTCCCCCTCACAGATAGTGTATCATTGGTTTCCAGTAAATAAACCACCAAGTACAGAATTTTAAGTTATTTTGTGAAATCAGCAGCAAATATTGAGTCAAATCCTTTGACTCACTTGCCCTTTCTGGCCAACACTTTCTGCGACTCCGGGTAATGAACCAGAATATCAAACAGGTCTTTCTTCTCCAGGACAAAGAGGTTGGCGAAGCCGTATGCTTTGACATTAGCTGTGCGCCTGTTCCCTCCATCTTTGGAGGACTGCAAGAGACTAAGAAACAGAAAGAGAAAACTTTTTCTCTTTGAATATTTCTAAATGTTTTTGTAAGTTCACTGATTGTGATTAAATGCCTCTGATGTTGATTAATTATCAGTATATATTTGTGCGCGTGTATCTGAACTCACCTGATTTCCCCAAAAACACAACCAGCTTTTAGTGTCACAAACACAATGCTGTTGTCGGGTCCTCCCACCACCTGCACCGCTCCACCTTTGATGATGTACATCTCTTTACCGATGTCACCCTACAAATAATTTACACAAATAAATTACTGAAGGGATGTTTTATGTGTATGTGCTTATAAAGGGCATTTTAGCTTTAAAAGAAGCCTGTGGTGGCCTTTTATATACACAGAACTTCTGAGATTAAAGTCATAAATTCAGACCTACAAGAACTCGGACATTCTTTGATATTAAAGTTGTAAATTTTGGAGGAAAAAAAAGTATTAACCTAGTAAAAAAAATCACTGTCATGGGCTGTTTCCTTTGATCCAGCATTTTGAGTTTCATTCCTTTTTGTATTATGATGATCTTGTTTGTGCAGTTTAGGCTTCAGCCAGTTCTGCTGATATTGAGCTCTGTTTCCCTATCTGGTCGTTAAGTGATGACGTGACGAATCCTACTTCCGGGCCTAAAGTAGTCTGCGTTTAATATGGCTTTTGTGTTGTTAACATGTTTAATGTTTTGTATTTTCTTCTATTTAATCTCAAAAAGCTCCTAAAACAGTCAGTGATCACTGTTGACCTCCCTCGGCTTTTATTACCGCTAATCATTTATTTAAGCTCAGTTTTTAAAACCTTAGGATGTAACTACAGCCCAGCCCATGCAGCAGTATATGAATGACTAACCTCGTATTGTGGATGGATTATCTCAGTTGTTCTCCTGGCTGAAGTTTGGTCCTTTTACAGCATCCTGCCATGTGATTACATTTGTTCCTGACCACCGAGAACACTCAGCTTGTTCATATTATGCTAACATAGCTGTGTCGCTAGCGGTCACGTAGCACATCATTATATACCAGCTAGCCAAACTTCAGTAACCCTACAAACGTCACTGCTGTTTAGTTTTCTGTCTTCATTTATGTTGGAAGTGATAACAGAGCTGTACGTTTTAATTTGTTTCAAAAACTCCGCAGTCGGGACATGCTATATTGTATTTAGATAGAAGCTAGCGAGCTAACTTCCTGCTAACTTCTAACCCCGTTAAATGTCATAAATTCCGTTTTCATGGATGCCTGGATGTTAAACTCAATTGCTACACCTGGTAGAGCAGAACGCTGATCATTTTATTAAAGATGAAAGACTTTAGACAGTTTTTCAACTCTCAGTAATGCCATAGTGATCGTTTGATTTATGGACCTGCAGCGGAGTTTAGGCCCAGACACGGCTAGTGACGTCAGACTTAACGACCGGATTTAGCTCTCGTCTGTCTGGGTTCCTCCCATGTCTGTGTCTTTCCACTATGTTGGTCAGTGTGCGTCAAGTCTCTGTGTTTAAGTCTCCCTCGCCCATTGTGTGTTTCAGAGATATCTTTGTCTCCCGTTGTCTCCCCTGTTTGTCATGTGTAATCTCCTTGTCCATTTAGGTTCCCCTTGTGTCTCTGTCCTCTGTGTCTCTCCCTCTGTGTTTGTGTTTATGTGCATGCGTCCCTTTTCCATTCCCTTGTTCCCCCTTCTTGTGCTCTTTCCATGTCTCCTGTCTGCCATGTTTATCCATGTTCCCTCGCCTGCTTCTTAACTGTCACCATGTCAAGTCCGTGTGTCTTAGTCTGTGTGCTTCCTGTTTTATTTTGACGGTGTCATGTTCCATGTGTTTAGTTTTGCTTCCCCTGTGGCATCATGTTCATTTGGCTGTTCAGCTGTTTCCCCGTGTGTTTCCACTTCCCCAGATCACCTCCTGTCTATATATAGTCTGTGAGTTTTCGTTAAGTCTTTGTCAGGTCGTCTGTTGAGTTGCCTCCTTGTTTCCAGGTTTTTCCAGGTTTTTCCATGTTCAAGGTTTTGATCTTTGTCTCTTTTTTTTTAGTTTCTCCCAGTTAGTTCTAGTTAGTTTTGCCTTAGTGTTCATCTGCCTTTTTTTGGTACCTTTACCCAGCCACAAATAAACCGCTCGCCCTTTGTTAAATTATAATTTTGCTCCAAGTGTCTGCATTTGGGTCATCCTACTGTCACCACACGGTCTGCCAGCGCAGACCCTGACAATGACCTATTTTATAAGATTATAAAGTAATTTTTCCAAATTTAAAAGTAAAATATGCAACGCTGTCTGAGGTTTTATCATAATTATGAATTTTAGAGAAACAAAGCTTGGATATTTTTGACGTTAAAGTGGCAAAAAAATAAGGTAGCTAAAAATGTACTCGACAATGGAGGATATGCAGTTGTAACTAATGCAAAAATCTGAAATGAAATAAGTGTGTTTTCCTCTGCCTCTTTACAGTCTGTATGCCTGTCATCATACGGTGAATCAGGGCTAAAATGAGTATCTCCTTATTGCCAAGTTTGATTACACAACATCAGTTTATCCTCCCCAGCACATTTTTACTTTTTTGTATTTAATGTCCCTCAATTGTTGGCATAAAATGATGATAAACTTAAAAAAAATGAAGTAATTTGTTGTGTTTCATTCACATTTGAAGTTGACGGTGATTGTGTAACACTTAACACACCTTCTTCACAACAAAGTCTCCGGGCAGATAAATGATTGACTTGAGCCTCAGCAACATGTCCACTAACATCTGCTGGTCACAGCCCTGTGGAAACACATGAAGATATTTAACTGACCAACCATCTCCCAGTCTCCCAGTTACTGTCTGGGGTATATATTTATTTTTTCTAATGAGTGTGCACCTTGAAAAGATCAATCTTCTGGAAGGTCGCCAGGTTGATGTCCACAGCAATGGCTGTTCTCATCACTAGAGGCATCTTGTCCAGCAGCTCGGACTCATCTGAAAACACGGAGATGAAACATCATTATTTAATTCAGTGTTAAAACTTTCTGCACCTGGCACAATAGTAGGACTGACGTCTGATTTGTGTCGTATAATTAAAGCGTTTCTCACACACTCTTAAAGACTGAAATGAAGATTTTATCTAGTGTCTACTGACCCAGCATGCCCTGAGCGTCCCAGGTGTAGGTGTACCAGGTGCGGACTCGGTTCTGTATCAAAGACGGGATATGATTGGTCACCATGTACTCCACAGTGTTGTCCATGGAAGAACGGAAGTAAGTCTGTCCTGCTGTCGCTGCACCAATGACATCTCTCATCTGAGACATTATGATGATAAGAAGAAATCCTTTGTTTAAACTAAATAAATGCTCCTCTCACTTAGACATTAGAATGAATGTGCTTTTGTTGTTTTTGACAGTCAAGACATCACAGGGAACCAGTGAAATACTATAGACAGAGTAATGGATACTGGAGTATTGCAGGTTTATTCATCTATCTACATAAACAGGACAAGTGGGGGAGAATAAGAGACAATCGTTTACTACTACTAGTACTACTTGCAGTTAATGATGCTAAAAGGATGCTAATCAGGACTCCAGATGAAGTGAGGATGCTGGGGGCTGTGACTCATGCTATGGGGCAGAGTGTCCTCTGTGTTACCTGTCCAATCAAACTGGAGAACACAAAGACGCCCAAGAAAAAGTTAGTCAGCTGAAAGGTAATCTCAAAGACGGTTTCGGGTTCATTAAGACCCCCGATGTTGATCAGACTGCGGACAGCAAAGTAGTAACAACGCAGGTACCTGTGGAGAGTTTTGGGGGGGTGTCAGAGAGGGGTGTCATAAACTGTATTGGATGTTTTGGGGTCGTGTTGGGGAAAATGGTGTTTGTTTCTTTGTTTTGCATAAAATGGCAGTGGTGGGTTCTGGGTACGTTTGAGTGATTTCCTTGATGTCTTGCTGAAATTGCTTTAGCTTCCTAAAGAGAAAAAAATATTAAAAGAAAAGAGAAAGTAAAATAACAAAAATGCTACGAGAAAGAAGCTACCTGGCCAAGCATGGTGGACATAAAGAATGCCCCGAAAAGGTAGTTGGTCATCTGAAAGATCAGCCCGAATGTGGTGTCAGGAGTTGGTAACTCGGCGATCAGTAGCAGGGACTTCTCGGCATAGAAGAAGCAGCTGAGGTAACTGCAGCCACAGCATCAGCAGCAAACATGGGACATATGAAAGATTTTGACTGGATGCTTTGTGAGCTGGAACTCATAACTCTGTGCAATAAACCAGAGACTTTTTTTTAGGTAATTTTGTTTCTTTGCTATAACTTTTTGTTATGCATTGCTAACATTATCCTCCTGTGTGCTCATTTTCTACCTTTCTGTATCATGTTGGTGCGTGAACATGTTTAATATGGTCATTTGTGAGTACAGATGTTCCCCTAGTCACTGTTTTCAAACCATCAGCCAATCATTAGAAAGTTGCACAGAGGGAGGGAAGAAAAAACAGTTTGTTGTAACTGTGACTCGTGCACAGTGTTGGGGAGTAACAGAATACATGTACTGCCGTTACGTATTTAAAATACAAAATATGAGTAACTGTATTCCATTACAGTTACCGTTTAAAAAGGTGTATTCAGAATACAGTTACTTTGCTGAAATAAAGGGATTACACGGCGGTATTTTCCTGTTTGATATGTTCGGCTATGCTCTCTCTATTTTTGGTTTCCACGCCGGTGGAAACCCAAACAAAACACGCATTAAGAGGCTC